AATATTGTTAAAATGTCCACAGCACCCAAAGCAATTTACAGATTCAATGCAATTCCTATCAAAATGCCAATGACAGTCTTCACAGAAATAGAAAAAAAAAAATCCTGAAGTATACTGAACCACAATAGACCCCAAAGAGCCAAAGCAATCCTGAGCAAAAAGAATAAAGCTAGAGGCATCCCACTATCTGACTTCAAAATATACTACAAAGCTATAGTAACCAAAACAGCCTGGTACTGGTATAAAAACAGACACAAAGACTAATGAAACAGAACAGAGAACCCAGAAATAAACTGCATTTACAGCCACTTACAGCCAACTGGTTTTCCATAAAGGCACCAAGAATATACATTGGGGAAAGGACAATCTCTTCAATAAATGCTACTAGGAAAAATGGTAACTATGTGCGAAAGAATGAAACTAGATCCCTGTCTCTCACCATAGACAAAATCAAATCAAAATGGATTAAAGATTTAAATGTAAGGCCTGAAAGTATGAACCTACTAGAAGAAAACATTGGGGAAACGCTTCAAACGATTTGATACAACCATCAAATCCTGATGGTTAGTCTGGGCAATAATTTTTTGGCTAAGATTTTAAAACCGCAGGCAAAAAAAGCAAAAATAGACAAACTGGATTATATCAAGCGAAAAAGCTTCCAAACAGCAAAGAAAACAACAGAGTGAAGAGACAACCCACAGAATGGTAGAAAATATTGGCAAACTATCCATCCAAGAAGAGATTAATAACCAGGATATATAAGGAACTCAACAGAAAAAACAAACAAAATAATAATCCCATTAAAAAGTGGGTAAAGGACTTGAATAGACATTTCTCAAAAGAAGACATACAAATGGTCAACACGTATATGAAAAAATGCTCGACATCACTAATCATCAGGGAAATGCAAGTCCAAACCACAATGAGATACCTCACCCCAGTTACAATGGATATTATCAAAAAGACAAAGAAAAATAACAAATGCTGGCCAAGGATGCAGAGAAAAGGGAACTCTTACACATTGTGGGTGGAATGTAAATTAGCACAGCCACTATGGAAAACAGTATGGAGATTCCTCAAAAAACTAAAAATAGAACAACCATATGATCCCACTGCTGGATATATATCCAAAAGAAAGGAAATCAGTATATCAAAGATAGGTCTGTACTCCCATGTTTATTGCAGCACCATTCATGATAGCCAAGGTATGAAATCAACCGAAGTGTTCATCAATGGATAAGGGAAATGTGCACGGATTTATAATAAAATATCATTCAATCATTAAAAAGAATGAAATCCTGTCATTTGCAGCAACATGGATGAACCTGGAGGACATTATGTTAAGTAAAATAAGACAGGCACAGAAAGACAAACGTCACATATTCTTACTTAGATGTGAGGGCTAAAAAAAAATAGGTGGATCTCACGTAGGTAGTGAGCAGAATGGTGGTTACCAGAGGCTGGGGAGGGTAGTGAGACGGGGAGATGAAGAGAGGTTGGTTAATGGGCACAAATACAAAGTTAGATAGAAGGAATAAGTTCTAGTGTTTGATACACAGTAGGTGACTACAGTTAACAGTAATATATCGTATATTTCAAAAAAGAGAAGAGAAGATTTGGAATACTTCCAACACAAAGAAATGATAAATGTTTGAGGTGATGAATAGCCCAATTACCCAGATTTGACCATGACACATTATATGCTTCTATAAAAATATCACATGTACTACATAAATATGTACAATTATTACGTATCAATAAAATAAATGTTTTAAAAGAGTGTACAAGACCTCCAGAGTCATAACATAAACAACGGCTGATACAACCACCAAATCCTGAGATCTTAATGAGATGAGAAGAATGAGCGTGAAGACGGTGGGGCAGGGATGGTGAAGGCTGCCAGAAAGCTAAGCCCTCGTCTATCATAGCAGGGGCGGTGTCCAGAATTAATAAATTAGGAAATAGAAGAATGAGCACATTATTTAGAAACAGGAAGGAAAAAACACCAGAAAAAAAAATCTAAAGCTTAAAGGGTTTGGGTGGGGAGTGGAAGACAGAGGCTGCTGTCCCCTATGACGGCTTTAATACTATTTGATTATATGCATGTTTTACTCTGACAAAAAAAATAAATAACTAAGCATTAATTTTAACAAACAGTTTGTGAGAGAAGACTCTAAGCTAAGATATGCACATTTTTTTAAAGGTTCATAAGCTAGGAACCTAAACACAAATCATACTCCTCAATCCTCTCCCAAATTAGAGACTTAAAAAAAGACAAAACCCTCCATTTTAAAAGTTCCAAAGATTTCTGGCTACGCAAAGTACTTCTGCTAATTCTAATAAACAGGGGCAAAAAGTCTCCATATCCAAACCATCTGACTCCCATGGTGGGACCGAGAACCCTGCTGCCTCACCCCCACGGCCCTCCCTCCAAACCTCACCAGGACCCTCCCTCAGCTCCTCAGCCATCACCTCCAGGAAGCCGGTCCTCCCCCAGAGTCCTCCAGAGACCCCCCCAAGTGCTCCCTAACGGTCTGAGCACATTTCCATCATCGCCTTTGTCCCTGTGGACAGCAGCCATTTACTTGTGTAGCTTCCCACCCACACTCCAAGCTCCCTGAGGCATCGTTGTAAGCCAAACCCTAGGCACCCAGCATGACAGCAGGCCTGAAAAAATGCTCTTGGAAGAGTGAGTGGATGAATGAATGAATCCTAATATACACTCCAGCCCTCCTCCTCACTGAACAGTCAGTGGGTCCTGAAACCCAAAGCCACTTGGTTATTCTGTGTGAAGTAAATTTATCTCCTTTTACTCTTACCTGTAGACAGTTCCCAGCTGGATGTAATGAAAAGCATCAATCTTCATCAATACTGCCTTTAAAAACACAAACATATGCACATGTAAATAACACACAACTTGCATATTAAATGCACAATCCAGGAGCCATGGTGGATCCTATCAACATTGGGTTGCCCTAACAAGGAAGCACACTGCATGTTCCTGAAAGGCTTGCTTGTTAATTAAAGTGCTGTACAGCTCTTTAAGGAAATTGCCTATCTACAGAAGCCAAAAAAAAAAAAAAAAAAAATATGGCAACTGGCTCTTCCTCAAGACACCAAAAACGACTACTAGAAATAAATAATACATCCCAAATAGCATGAGTTCATGCTTTTCTAACACGTAGTCTCTTCAAAAAGATTTTACCCAAAGATATTTGAATAAATTGCTTCTGCAGCCCTAAATAACATAACTTAAAACCAATTTACCCATTCGGCAAAGAAAAGCATCAAGAGCGCATTTTATTTTCAAACACCATTACACCGTAGAAAAAAACATGAGAAGTAAACTTACCCGTTGTACATCATAATGAAGTCCACGAATTGCAAAACTGGGGTCATACTCATACTTCCTGATTTCCACAGGATACTAAGAAAGAAGAAAGGAATCGGTTTCAGTCAACAACAACCTAAGTTTGGGATCGTGTCCTTATCTGGCCCTTGTACACGGCTGAGGCAGCTGATGCACCCTGGTGGGAAGGTGGGCTCAGAAGGGCAGACCACAGCTCGTCCCTCTGCTTCGAGCCCAAGCACTTCCTGGCAACCACGCTGGCCACAGAGCCTCCAACACGCCCCTAGCACAGCTGATCCGCCAAGCACAGGCTGGGCCTCATCCCCTTCCCCCTTAACTGCTCGCATATTAACTTCCTTTTCCCAGCCCCTCCCCTCCCTGGGTCCCTAGACCCCCAGACCTCTGAGACCCAGCAACACATCTGCTCCTCCCTCAAGCCATCGCTCCCTCCTCTTGTTGTTAAGGCTGCTAAGGAGGAAGAGCTGGAAGGTCCCCTCTATTACTAGAAACACAACTTCTCCCAAACAGATTGTCAACCATCCATTCAGCTCTTTTTTGAGCACCTCAATGCAGCAGCCCCCAGGTGGCCCCATTACCAGCTTTCCCAGAGAGACCCAAGGTGAAAACGTTTCATGGGAGACCTCCATATAGCCTTCGTCACTTTGCTCATCTGGACATCTGGCCGCCCTCACCCTCCACGACAGCCCCCACAGCTGTCAGGTTTCTCAGCGCCTGGCTCCCAGTTGCTGCTCCAATGCCCTGTCTCAGAACACTCATGACTTCTGGAGGCAGCCCAGCATCCCTGGTATTATTAAGCCATTCCTCACACTATGCAAAAACGCTGTCTCCTCCCTACCTACTGCTCCTGCATCCAAGTCGTTCCTCTCTCCCCAAATCTCAGAATTAGAACATCAGTCACCCAGAGGCAGCACCGACCTGCGATCACCGCTTCTGCTGCTACGGCATGGCAGGCCCTGTCATCCTCATTTACAGAGGAACCAACTGGCCTGGGCCACCCAGCTGGGGCATGGTGGGTGGAGACTCAGGCTCAGTCCTTCACCCCTGCTCTCCCCACACGCCCTCTGACCTGGAGCACTGGCCTGCAGGATGGAATATCTATACCTGAGTCTAGGGAGGCGACATCCCAGGCTCTCCCAATCATGATGCAAACTGCTTATATAAAAATCCAGACAACTACTAAGACACCCAGGAAACCCCCCTGCATGGCTGCACTGCTAACTTTTCATGGCCAGGGTCCCATTTGTGCAAGAACATTTCCTGGGACTACCAGGTTGACCCGCATGCAGCGAGTTCTCAAGTCAAGCTGCACAAAGCACTGACTCAAATGTCACATTTGGGCTCGTTTATCTACCACCTGCCACACGTGTACTTCTGAACACCGTGTACGGTCCTGCATTTTTACTGTCACACTTGACACAGCTGTCACAGAACCCAACACCTGGAACCACAGTCCTACTTACTGAAGAGGGGCCAAGGGACTTCAGCAGCTCTGCATCTCCTTTTAAACTCAGGAGTGATGAATGAGTTAAGAGGACGGATAGGAAAGACATATTTAAAATGTCACTGAGACAGGTGTCTTGACTGAGAATTTGCTATGTGCCCTACGCTAGACACTTTCTATGGCTTTATCTTCTTTATTCCTCTCCATGCCGACATGCAGGAGATGGGGCATCTCATGCCTGTTTTCCTGTTGAATCATCTCAAGATCAGAGTCAAGGAATTTGCCCGGGGTCACCCAGCTAGAGCGTGGTCAGGTCAGTATTTGAACTCAGGTGTGTGTCACACCCAGGTCTCCCCTAAGTCTGGCATTTCTTTCTTTGAACAAGGTTGATCTGGGCTCCGAGAAGGGCACGGCCCCGCACACAGTCACGATCCCCCACCTCTCACTCTGGCTGTTTTTCTTGGACAGCCTCCTCTGACAGATATGCAACGTTTATCAGATGGTCCAAAGACTATAGTAAATGACCTTGAGAACTGGCAGAAACAGCTAAAAGAGCCTCATCATGACGATTTCATAATGAAGAACATGGCTCCAAGGCTGAGAGACCAGGCGTCCAACCATGTGCTAGCTGAGTGACCCTGGGCTAGGTCCTCTGTCTCTCCAAGCCTTGGTTTTCTCATCTACAAAGTAAAGATAACAAGAATCCCACCCTTTTGAAAGTGCAGATGATTAAGTCCAAAAATGCACGTGGGGAGTGAGGGCAGTGCCTGGCACATAGCAAGTGCTCAGTAAAACCGAGCTGCTTCCCTGGATTGAGAACCAGCAGGCCTGGGGTTTAGGAACCACTCTGCTGGCCTCTGCTGCTCTCCTACAGGACTCTAGGCAAGTCGCCTCCAAGGCCTCTTCCTTCAACTGCAAAATGAAATAGGGGACTAGGGTGATTTCCATGCACCCACCCTAAACTGTAATTTCCCCTTATAACCAGCAAGTCAAAAATGCCCTCATGTTGGGCTGCTTTCCAACACGTTCACATACACACACCCACGGCACCTCTGGGAACAATTGTCACTAGTAACGTCCAGCCCAGGAAGCCAGAGCTGCTCACACCAGGCAGGCGGTTACGTTCCTCCCCCACAGTTTAGGGCGAGATTTTCAAGACTCTTTTTTTTTTCGATTTTCAGGATTCTTAACGGTGTAGAAACTTTTTAATCACCCAGAAAAACAAGACTCATCCCATGTGAGGCATCATGGAAATAACTGGTATCCCTAAAAGCAGTAAGAAATATAAAAGATAAAAGATCCCTATTTGGGATTTTTATTAAAATTCTAATTTAGGCTCAGTCGGGTTTCCTTCAGTGCCTGGATTTGATTTGATCCCTGGTACAATCTGGGCAGGCCACTGTGTGCAGGTAAAGAAAGAGCAAAGTGTCCGCCTGAAAATGCTACAGAAATGTCCCTATGGCTTCAAGCAAAGTTAGTACCAAAATGCAGCAGAGAACCCAGGAATCCTCATGTGTGTATAATTATTACAGTCCTGCTGCTGGGCCACGTGCCTCATTCCCGGGCAATTACAAAATCTCTGGATACAGCTGGTAACCTCCACCTTACAACACCGCCCATGTGTTCCTAAGGTCCTATAAATACATCCATTTTCCGGAGGTCTCGGTTGATATTTCAAGTAGCCTAAATTATGAGTTTAATTAGAGGCAGGGCAGAAGAACATGAAAACAAAGCTCTCCGAAAGCCACACAAGCACGAAGCTAGGGAAGAATGACCTCATCACAGTGCCGGCCCTGCAGGACGCACAACTGTCTCACTTCCCTGCGGAATTCGTGGATGCGAATGTCCAGTGTTTATCGGGCCTGCACTTTGCTCCTGGGGCTGGGAATATGGCAGAGGACAAAACTGACAGAGTCTCCGCCCCCAAGAGGTTTCCAGTATACCGCAGGGAGGCAGACCACAGACAAATACCACGTGCAGAGTATAATGCCTCAGAGTGCATGTTCTATGAAGAAAATGCAGTATGAGGGTTCACAAATCTAAAAAACAGAAAAAACAAGGAGCGAGCCTCAGGCTGTCTGGGGCAGGAAGGGTGTTCCAAGGCAGAGGAAGCAGCAGTGCCAAAGGCAAAAGCAGAAAGGTGTTTGGCGGTTCGAGGAGCAGCAAGGAGGCCAGTGTGGCCAGAGCAGAGCCAGCAAGGGCGGGTAGGAGGCTGAAGGGGACGCCGGGGCCTGGGGCACAGCACAGACCCTTGCTATGAAGGGATGGAAAGCACACTCGTCTCTGTGGTCTTCCTCCCCAAAACCTGTAACGCCGTCTACTCATGAGGAAAATGCACACAGCATCTGACTGATACTCTTCAAAACTGTCAGGGTCATCAAAAACAAGAAAAGTCAGGGAAAGTGTTAACGCCAAGAGGTGCCTAAGGAGACACGACAAGCGCATGTAATGTGGTGTCCTGGAGGGGAACCTGGAGCAGGAAAGGGATGTTAGTAAAAAATAAAAATATCTGAATAAAGAATGGACTTCAGCTAACAACAATGTACCAATTTTTTCTTTTTTTTAAGACAGGGTCTCACTCTGCCACCCAGGCTGGAATATAGTGGCACAATCACAGCTCAATGCAACCTGAACTCTTGGGCTCAAGCATGCACCCACGACACCTGGCTAAGTTTTTCATTTTCTGTAGAGATGGGGGTCTCGCTATGTTGCCCAGGCTAGTCACCAAACTCCCTGGCCTCAAGCAACCCTCCCACCTCAGCCTCCCAAAGTGCTGGGATTATAGGCACGAGCCACGACACCTGGCCAATACTGGTTGTTTAGTTGTGACAAATGTACTGTAGTCATATAAAAGGTTACCATTAGGGGGATTTATATAGGAACTCTTTGCAACTTTTCTGTAAGCCTAAAACTACCCTAAAACTAAAAATTTAAAAAAGAGAGAGGGCACACAGCATTTGCTGAGCGATCAGATGTGGGATAGAGTGTAAGGGCTCACAGCTGATGGTACCCTGGGGATCTGAACAACAAACTAAAGAGAAGAGAATGCGAGCAGAGGTGCGAATCTCGAAGCCGAAATGGAGAACTCTTCTACCAGTCCCTTTCTGTTCCTTGGTGGACACAGGAAATGAAAATATAGAACCAGTTATTACTCAATTTTTTTAATTTTCATTTTTGTAAAAAAAAAAAATTGTTCTTATAAAAAAAAGGGTAATTACAAAGGAGCTGGAACTTTTACATTTGCTTTTTGGAAAGATGCTAAATAGCAGATTTATTGTTCTATCACTGTGTGTCTCAAAAGCAGATGTCTTTCCGACTCTACAAGTACATAGAGTACATTCACTCTCAGCCGGAAAAAATGGCACTGAACTCAGTGCATCTTGGAAGAATTAGTTTGTTAAATCAGAGCAAGAGAAAAAATCTGCATAAGTATAACTGACACTACCAGTATGCCTGATATAATTAGTGTTATAATATTTCTTTTATCAAAGCAACAAATAGATGTAATGAGAATGAACTTTCAATAATCTTAAATCTAGAGGTTTTTCTAATCATAATGATTGTACCTTTTATTTTATCCATCTATTTCATCTCTCTTCCTCCTAAATTTCATAAATTTTTTATGTTCATAAATGTTTTATTTTCATGAATATTTTATTTTCATCCGAACAAAAAACCCATAGGATGGAGAGGTGTTATCAACCCTACAAGAGGCAACATGGAATACAGGAGAGCACACAAGTCCCTTGGAAACAGGCAGATCTGAGCTGAAATCCTGGTTCTGCCTCCCACTGGCCTGTGGCCTTGATCTAGTAGCGTAACTCTCTGAGCCTCAGTTTCCTCAACTGTAAAACAGGGATGACATATATGTGCGAAGTTGTCGTGCAGATTAAAAATAACAATATTAGTATATAGTCAACATTTATTGAGTGTTTTCTATGTGCCAGGCACTTTACATATTAACATATTGACTCATTTAGTTATCGCAATAACACTATGAAAAAAGCACTGTTACTATGTCCATTTTACAAAGGAGAAAACTGAGGCCCAGAGAAACCGGGTGAGTTGATCAAGATTACATAGGAAATAAGTGGTGAAGGCCAGGATTTGAGTCCCAGCAGTCAGGCTTAGAACCTGTGCTTTCAGCACCTAGCAGGCAATCGATAAGCAGGGTTGTCGGGATCATGACCTGCTTTCTGTAAGTGGCATCAAAGTCACAGAAAACACTGCAGCTGACCTGGGACTAGAATGCCAGCACCAATGCAACACCCCTTCAGCTCCACCTCCCAGCATCTCCCACAGGGTGGTGAAGAGATAGGTTGGGGTAGCAGACGGGAAGCAAGGGCAGAAGCACCTCGTTCTTCGTCTGCCTCCATCTCACAATCCAGGGAAAGGACCACAGCTTAGACGGGAGGGAACAGAGTCTCTTGAGCAAATGAAGACCTGCTGCTGGATGGCAAGTGGCTGGGGGTTTTAGCTCTGGTAAAAAGGCCATAACTAAAGAAAGCTGGCTGTTGGCTTAGTGGCAGAAGGGAAGGTTCTTTTTGGCAAATACCATTTCTGCATTTTAGCTAAGGACAAAAGGAGTTGCTTAGATCCACTGATAACCAAAAGCTGAGGGGGATCAGAAAATACATACTGGATCAAATGGTCAGGATCCAAAACTAATGGAAACTTTGGCTGCATTAATAGAAGTATGATATCCAGAACCAGGGAGGTGATGGTCTCCCTCTATTCCATGCTAGTCAGACCCCACCTGTGGTAACACCTTCAGTTCAAGGCCTCACATTTGGGAGGGACAAACCAAGGCACACACAAAGGAGGGTGACCAGGATGATGAAAAGAAAAGAAACAAATGAGAATGGTTAAAACAGCTAATAACGATCAGCCTGGGAAAAGAAAAGACTTGGAGGCCATGATAGGCTGGTCTACACACCAGCCCATTATATGTCTGGTACGCAGATAGTCAGGAATAAAACATTAGTTTGCATGATTTGCATTTCTAGGTTACTGAGACCCACCCACCCCAGCCCACCTTTGCCAGCAAACCCCTTCACGAGGCGGCTGAAATATCACTTCTTACTTGCTTCTCCAGTTCCCTCAGGCAGAGTCGTTCCAACCACCCTCTACGCATCCTTAGCTCTCCATTTGGGTGTCTACAGGGGCCTCCACCAGCAGGCTTCATAATTTATCCGCCTACATGATCGACTCCCCAACGAGGCTGCTGGTTCTCCACGGGCAATGCCTGTCTCCTACTCACCTTCCTTCATCCTTCCTGCTTCTACCGCAGGGCTTGGCACAGACAAGGCACTAAATAAAGGCTTAAGGAATGTATGAAGGAAGAAAAGAGACCAATGGTGAAAACTATGTAAAAAGCAGAATTGTTCAACCCATGGAAGAACTTCCCAGAAACCAGAACTGCCTCCAGGGTAAGGTGCTCCTGTCCGACATGGAGGTTCAAGCTGTGATTCTCAGGCTGCTCGGGGGGGTTCTCAAAGGACACTAGTCACACAACTTCTGAGGTTGCTTTTCATCCTGACTCCTAAAATGTGTACCCCAACCAGACCAAAGAACACTAGCATTGAATATTTTCTTTTTGTCCTTCCTCATTAAAAGCTCTCAGTGTCACTGTGCTTCAGAAGACATTCCAGTATTCTTTACTCTTAGCAATTCAAACCAGTATTGAGGGTAAAACATGGCCTAGCATTTGAGGAATTTCTCCTAACCACAATTCAATAGGCGGCCACTTCATCAAGCTCTGGGAGGAACTGCTGCTGCTCTGTGAAACGTGAGAATGTAAACATCTCCAGCGGCATCTCCATTAATGTGGACCGTGGACAGTCTTTGGCCAGAGAGACATCTAAGGATTAAAAAAAAAAAAAAAAAAACCTATCTTCCAGATAAGAGTCATTTGAAAATTCAGAATGGAACAAAATCTACTCATTCATTCAGCAACAATTTACTAAACGACTTCTCTGTGCCAGGCATGGGGCCATGCCAGCTCAAGGTTATTCTAAGAGGAAAGCAGGAGGGAGGAGACTGAATGGTCCCTGTGATCTCACCCGGTGTTCATTGATGAGAAGGTCCCGAGCAGCATTAAATATCAGCGTGTGGAGGTGCTTTGAATAAAACACCAAGGTGTAATCGTAATCAAAGCCGTAGATTTCAATGTCTGACAGGCTCATTTCATTGTTTGAGAAAATGGCATCTGGATTCAACAAGTTGCTCATAATTGAAGGTACCAATTCTGGAAGGAAAGAAAAAAAATACATTATACCACATAATAAATAAGGGTTAGTACTATTTCTAAAAGGAAATGAGTAAACCAGAATATAAGAGTGATTTGCTTCACCTTGAAAATATGCAGAGTGAAAGAACCCAGCCACAAAGGACCACATGCGCCATAATTCCATTTATATGAAAAGTGCAGAAATGACAAAGCCATAGAGACAGAAAAGTAGACTGGTGGTTGCCTAGGCCTGGGGGCTTGGGGGTAAGTGGGAAGTGACTGCTAATGGGTATAGAATTTTTTTTTGGGGGGGTGATGGAAATATTCTAAAATTGATTGTGGTGACAGTGATGGTTGAACACCTCTTTTGAATATACTAAAAAACCAATGCAACGGGTGAATTGTATGGTATGTAAATTATATCCTAATAAAACTGTTACTGAAAAGGAATATTTACGCCAGGTGTGAAATCCTAGCACTTTGGGAGGCCAAAGCAGGAGGATCGCTTGAGACCAGGAATTTGAGACCAGCCTGAGCAACATGGTGAGTCCCTGCCTCTAAAAAAAAATCAAAAAATTAGCTGGCTGTGGTGGTGTGCACTTATAGTCCCAGCTGCTCGGAGGGCTAAGATGGGAGGATAGTTTGAGCCCAGGTGTTAGAACTTACAGTGAGCTATGATTGTGCCACTACACTCCAGCCTGGGCAACAGAGCAAGATCCTGTCTCCCCCCGCCAAAAAAAAAAAAAGAGCAAAAAGAAAAGAAAACCCAGCTGGGAGTGGTGGCTCACACCTGTAATCTTAGCACTCTGGGAGGCCGAGGTGGGCGGATTGTTTGAGCTCAGGAGTTCGAGACCAGCCTGTGCAAGAGCGAGACCCCGTCTCTACTAAAAATAGAAAGAAATTAGCTGGACAACTAAAAATATATAGAAAAAATTAGCAGCGCATGGTGGCGCATGCCTGTAGTCCCAGCTACTCGGGAGGCTGAGGCAGGAGGATCATTTGAGCCCAGGAGTTTGAGGTTGCTGTGAGCTAGGCTGATGCCACGGCACTCACTCTAGCCTGGCCAAAGAAATGAGACTCTGTCTCAAAAACAAAACAAAACAAAACAAAACAAAACAAAAGAAAACCCAAACAATGGAGATTTACCAACACTTCCATTTCTTCATTAGTTTCTTTTGTCAAAATCAATAGAGACAATAACCGTGGCTTTTATTTTTCTTTTGCAAATAAGACAGATCTGAGGATGGTAAACAGACAGTAACATTTTACAAAACTTGGAGGCAGATGGTTCACAAGAACCAGTCTTGAGGAAGGGGAGAAGCTTCAGTATCTACCACCAAAAATCTTCTGGCCTTACGTGATCGATGGGCCACTGCGAAGGATGCTATTTTCTGAAAATGACCACACGGGATTGTCCGTGTGATGTAAGGCGGGATCGCTTACACAGCGACCAAAAGCTCCACTTTCACAAATGACCTTTCCAAGGGAGGTTCTAACAGCCTGTTTAATTAGAAGTGTATATTTGGAAGTGGTGTTGGCGAGAAAGTCTGTCTCCCTTTCTATTACCTGAGAAGACGATGTGAAGCCCTCAAGGAGAAACTGCTGTGATGGAAAATCACAACCACCAGCACATCTCCAAAAGCCGCACGGAATTCCCCTGCCGCAGTGAATGCCTGAGATACGTTAATCGCACGAACAGCATCACCTGAAAGCGTGGATGTCTGTCATCCTCAAAATAAACACGAGGGGCAGCATCAGAGGCTTAAAGGATCTCAGCTCCCTGTGCAGCCGCCACATAAACAAGCTAAGAACAAACATGAATAATTACAAGAAAAATGAAAAGAACCAACCACTCACAAAAAGAGAAACAGTCTGTCTAAACTTTAGACTCTAAAGTAGAAATTGAATGCTCCCTGACTAACTCATCAGTTATGTATTTTCGCAAAGCAGAAACAAGAGCATAAACGGGTACAAATTTAGAAAGCGAATTCCTCTTGTACATAACGGGTGACGACAGCAACACTATACGGTTAGGACAAAGAAACGGAGAGACAGCCCTGATGCTCTGGCCCAAGCTCTGACCAGAACTGGGCTCCGATGCGGCCCCGCCGGGCAGGATGCTGCACACCTTCCATCAGACAGCGCGGCACACTGGGAACCCCCGGCGCACTCAACTTCTTCCAGTTTTTCATCTGCTAATCCCACAGAGCACCGGCAAGTGCGGTGAACAACGCGTGGGGAAAACTTGTGAGCTTTTTGCTTTGGTTTGGGTTTTTGTGGTTTTAATTGTGGTAAAATACACATAAAATGTACCCATCTTAACCATTTTTAAGAGTACAATTCAGTGGCATTAAGTACATTCTCCTTGTTGTGCCACCATCACCACCATCCATCTCCGGAACTCTTTTAATCTTGCAAAATTGAAACTCCATACCCACTAGAGAACTCATCCCCCCTTCTCCAGCAACCACCGTTCTGCTCTCTGTCTCTGTCAATGTGACTACTCTCTGTACCTCACAGAAGTGGAGTCATTCAGTCTTTCTGCATAATGTCCTCAAGGTGCATCCGTGATGTAGCAAGTGTCAACATCTCCTTCCCTTTTTAAGGCTTAATGATATTCCATCATATGTATATAATACCTTTTGTTTATCCATTCATCCATCAGTAGGCGCTTGGGTTGTTTCCACCTTTTGGCTGTTCTGAATAATGTTGCTATGAGCATGCTATGCAAATATCTGTTCAAGTCCCTGCTTGCAACCTTTTTAAATACATACCCAGAAGTGGAATTGCTGAATGATGTGGTGATTCTATTTTTAATATTTTGAGGAGCTAACCTGCTGTTTTCCATAGCTGCTGCACCATTTTTTATTTTTTTAGGACCACCAGGGTTGGGTGCAGTGGCTCACGTCTGTAATCCTCACACTCTGGGAGGCTGAGGTCAGGAGTTTGAGACAAGCCTCAGCAAGAGCAAGACCCCGTCTCTACTAAAAATAGAAAGAAATTAGCCAGGTGTAGTCATGCATGCCTGTAGTCCCAGCTACTTGGGAGGCCGAGGCAGGAGGATGGCTTGAGCCCAGCAGTTTGAAGTTGTTGTGAGCTAGGCTGACGCCACAGCACTCTAGCCCAGGCAACAGAGTAAGACTCTGTTTCGGAAAAAAAAAAACCCACTATGGAAGAATACCACTCCTTGCCTAAATTTTATCTTTACTACTCAGAGAGAGAGAACATGAAAGAAGGCAGAACTTCATTCTGGTACAGAAGCCAGACACTGTCCACCTCTTCAAGGAAACATATTTAAACTATGTAATGATCTCAGCTTGGGAGGCAAAGTTTTTGCCAAGCACTTATCTCCTTTAAAGTTCCTGAAAACTAACTGACTCTCACCACACAGAGGCCTCGACCCTGGCAGGGCCAGCACTGTCTGTCACAGAGTAGTGTGTGGAGATAGTGCCCAGCAGAAACCCATGGCCTGAGTCGTGTCAAGGGACAGTCTTAATGTTTTTGGAAAGGTGCTGGGACTATCAGTTAGCCGTTGGGCACACAGCACTGGAGACCTCTAGAAATTTACTGAATTCATTACTGCTCTCAGCATTATCCCAGGAACCATCAGATAAGGACAGGAGAGTGTAAGCGATGGGTCTGACAAACTCGAGGTCCCACAGGCTGCCTGGGATAAGTGATGGTCACGGGCACTAGTTGTCTGTGCCTGCCCAGCGTGGCTGTGCCATCTCATGTTCACTCCCGTCCAGCTGGTGCCTCTTCCCACGCATGGGGGGAGGATTACAATCCTCCCCCAACTCTCCACCCCCAGTTCTGGTCAGCTCTAGCCAACAGATCTTGGGCAGCCAGAGTGGGGCACACTCCTTTCTCCTACTATGCCTACTGTGGACACATGTGGCTATCACACAAGATAAAGAAGCCTGGAAGGCTAAGCTGCCACATGGAGCTGACTGCCCTGGAGAGTTGCCAAAGTCCCCAGCAGATTTTGCATGAGTCAGAAATAAACTTTGGTTATAGCTGTCTGTCTGTAGTAAGTCATTGAAATTTTGGTGTTGCTTGTCACTGCAGCACAACCCAGCCTAACCTGACTAATATACCTTCAATTCTTCTAATAGCCTAAATTTCTCTGGGAAACCTCCCCTCCCCAATATCCAGACTGTCTGGTCTCTGGCGGTTCCATTCCTGACTCCAGGGGGAGGCCACGTGAACCAAGCCTGGCCTAACAAAGCACCTGAATTCCCTCACCAACACTGATTAGTTTGAGGCAGACTAGGCCCCCTTCCAGCCAATGATAATCATACTTCCTCTGAAGCCAAAGTGAACCAATGAGTCCAATCAAGTCAATTTGGGCATTTGCAGAGAAGAGGTGCTCTTTTCTTCCAAACCTGGACTTAAGAGGATATAAATCTGGAGATGTCAGGGGCCACCACTAGGAACCTGAAAAAGATGCCAATGGGGAAAAGAGGAAGGTCAAGGGACAGAGAGAAACCACCCAATAACATCATCAGAACCCCCAAATCAAGTTACACTTGGAGCTAGTACTATCTCTGAATTTTTTACTCACATGAGCCCACAAAATTTCTTCTTTTTAAATTTTTTTTGCTTAAATTAAATCAGTTTGAGTTAGGTTTTCTATGGCTTGCAGCCAAAGGAGTCCTAACTGAAAGTTCATTTTAAGGATATTTAGCCGCTCAAAATTCTGACTACAAAATTTAACTTATAACCTGGCATCAAAGGCATTCCCCATTTATATCTTAACCTGTCTTTCCAATCTTAAATTTTCCTTCACACACCCTATTTTCAACAAGATGGGTAATCCACTACTCTGTGTTCTCCAGCATCTACTATAGTTGAGTTAAATCTTCCTGGAATATTCTTTGTCTGATGTCTGTGCATAAACACTCAACAGTGTATGGAAAGAATGTCAAGGAAGATTTTCCTTCATATTATGCTACAAAACAAATACCATGTGAATCAAAGAGTTAAAATTTTTTAAACATTAAAAAGGTAGAAGACAT